ATTCGAAACCTCTTTTTTTTAATAAAAATAATAAAAAAAAGGGAAGGAAAAAGAAAAAAAAGAAAAGATAATCTTTTTTTAAAAATTTTAAAATATATTTTTTTAAAAATAAAAAAAATAATATAAAAATAAAATAAAAAGGGACCGGGTCGGTCGGATCCGACCCGGGTCAACGGACCCGACCCGGGGCATTGACCCGGGTCGGATCGGCTGAACCGGGTCGGCTGGACTGACCCCGGGTCAACGGATCCGACCCGGAGCGTTGACTGGGTCGGATCGGATGAGCCAGGGTCGGTCGAACGGACTGAGTCAACGAGATCCGGCCGGGGCGTTAGTGGGTCGGGTCAAGCTGAGCAAGATGGTCGGAGCCGATCCGAAACGGTCGCGGACTTCGGAGAAACTAGAAATCGGCCGCTCGCCGGCCTACCCAAACCGACGCCGCCCCTCGAATCGACTTCTGGGAGCACTGCCAAGCCTTGCCGGCCACTGGGTTGCCGTCAGGCAAAGTCAGCTCGCCGCCGGGCGAGTAATTAAAAAACGGCCTCTTTGAGGCATTTTATCAAACAGGACGGTGAGCGAGCGCAAAAAAGGGGAATCCCGACCTGTTTCGAGGCCTCGCCATCCTCGGGACACCCGTTCTTACCTTTGGCGACGACGCACGGATGGCGGGGGACGGCGGTATGGGCCGGAACTCGCGTGAAACGGCCGGCGCGGGTCCCGGCCAAGCCGGGAGCAAAAACAGGGGAAAACAGAGCGGTTCGGGCCGGAGGGAGAGCTCACCGTCGACGACGCATCTGGGGGGTTTCCGGTTGATCGGGGGCGACGGCGACGCGGCTGGGAAACTGTAAAAACCAACTCTCCTCTCTTTCTCTCTCTATTTTCTCTCTTTCTCTCTCTGTTTCTCTTCAAATTGGCCGACCGGCCTCTCTCTCTCTCTCTGGCTATTTATAGCCGGCGACGATGGTGCCCCCCTGCTCCGTTACGTCTGCAATGACGACGGTGCTGCACCGGCCCTACTACGGCGCGCGACTTTCGCGGCCATTTAGGCCGGTGCGGGCGAGGGTCGATTCCGGTGGCGCGAGAGAGGAACAGGGGAGAAGAGAGGGCGGAGGGGATAAGGGAGGCCGGGAAAACGGGGAGGACGGGACTGGCAATTAATGCCAGTCCCGTCGGCGTGCCTCTTCGGCCCTACTCTGGTCGGATAGGGACGCCAAGGAGCGGCGCCGCCGTGCATCACGTTGCCGTCGGTGAGCAGAGGCGAACAGGGCAGCGAGAGCGACGGGGAGAAGGAAGGAGAAGAAGTGGGGCGGGCCGGGCCCATTGTGGGGGGGGAAGAAGAAAGAAAGGAAAGCGGGCCGGGCCGCGCGAAGGAAAAAAGAAAAGGAAAAGGGCCTGGGCCCGGGGGGAAAGGGAAAAAGAAATGGGCCAGGTCGGCCCAGCTCCGACCCGGCCCGACTCGAATTTTTTTTTTTTAACTCCATAATAGACTCTATTAGTGCAAATGTACCTAATTTCTATATGCAATGCATTTAAATAGAAATATTTTTTGTTTTAGGAATTAAAGAAAATTAATTCCTAAATTTTGTGTAATTAATTTTGGGCAAATAAAAAATAGTTGTCAACAATGGGTACATATGAAGGGTGCCCAACTTGTTTGGATCAGCTTTTCTAGTACTTACTTAGGTACGTCAGTGGAAGGGCAAGGACTGCCTATATATATCAATCAGAACAAACTCCAAGAGAGATCTTAGGAACCGTCAAAGAGTGAGGTTGTGTGAAGGAAACACTTTGCATTTTTTTTATTTGAATTTGTGAGATTATTATGATATAATTAAGGTCTGAAAAACAATTGAGAGTAGTGTGCTTCAAGTTATTGTAATCTTTGTTTATAGTCGAACAACTCGTCCATCTCTCCCTGTAGAGTAGGTATACCCAATCGAACCACAAATCCTAGGTCATTTTCCGCATTTGTTTCTCCCTCAGTTTATTTGCCTTTGTCCAAGCTTCCGCCGTCTTGTGTAACATTTTTGGTAAGAAAATAACCATTTGGCAAAAAAGTCGAACAAAATAAGTAATGGGATGGCTGAAGAAATTCGAAGTCTAGTACAAGAACTTATGACGTAAATTATTATTAAAAAGGGAGGATGCAAAAATTGGCGTGCGTGCAAAGAGACGCGATGCATGGATTATAAAAATTATTTCCCAATATTTTAAGATCGCACACGAGGTACGATGTATCACCACATGGACGCCATTGTTTCGGTAATGGGTAAAAGAAGAAGCTTCAATCAATAAGAGAAGACCCGCGATGTACGATCCATTTATCTATTCTTTTGAGCAGGAATGTGGAGGTAGCACATGCAACCGAACACCTTGAGATGCTTTGCTGAAAGCATCCATCCACTCCAGACTTCAACTGGAGTTTTATTTTGGACTATTTTAGTTGGACACCTATATAAGAGAAAAGTGTTAGAAAAGTCCTAAACATTTTGCATTGATACAAATTTAGTTATAAATTTTTTTTATGCCAATTGAATCTGAAACCTTTTGTCTTTATGTCAATTCAGTCTTTTTAACTAATTTTGGCTAGATTTTATTGACGTGGACGCCAGCCAGCCTACGTGGTAGGGCCGACATTGACGTGAACAATTTTTAATAATATTTTAATATTTTTTTGAATTCTTTTAATTCTTTTTTCTTTCTTTTTATTTTTTTCCTATTCTCCCTCCTTACTCCAGCTGATAGTCGGACCGGCAACCGACCATAGGCTAGGGACCGGCGAAGCCACGCCAGCCATTGGTGAGGCTCACCCTCGCCGGATCGTCGCGAGGGCGGCCTTGCACCTCGCCCAGCCATGGCAAGGCTCGACCTCGCTAGATCTGAAGAGGTCGGGCCTTACCAAAGGCCGCATCCTTCGACCTCGCGGCCTCTGGTGAGGGCTCGAGCCTCACCAATAGTAGGGCGAGGCTTGCCTTCGCCGTCGCTGGTGAGGGCAGTGGTGAGGCTTAACCCTCGCCAGCCTAGCGCGAGGCCGCCCTCGCGGCCATTCGGCGAGGTCGACTTCGCCGGCCTCTGTCCTATTGCCGGTCTGGTGACCAGTTGGAGTAAGGAGGGTGAAGAGGAAAAAAAAAGGAAAAAAATATTAGAAAAATAATTAAAAATTCAAAAAGTATTAAAAATTGTCCACGTTAGTACCGGCAGTGCCACGTAGGTTGTCTAGCATCCACGTTAGCAAAATCCGGTCAAAATTAGCCAAAAGACTACATTGGCACAAAGACAAAAAGTTTATGGCTTAATTGGCACCAAAAAAAGGTCTAGGACTAAATTGGCACAAATGCAAAAGGTTTAAGACTTTTTTGACACTTTTCCCCCTATACAAGATGTATACTGTTGTATAGACTGCTTCTATCTAGAACGTGTTGAGAAGGCCTTTCTCCTCTAGCATAAACCTTGCCATCTCCATGAAGGTTCTATTCTTCCTTTCCATTACTCCATTTTGCTTTGGGGTGCAGCCAACAGTTAGTCGATGATGAACTCGTTCATCTTCACAGAATTTATTAAACTCTCTTGAGTTGTATTCTGTGCCTCTATCGCTCCTAAGGACTTTGATCTCTATGGGGCTGCGAGGCACAGCGTCAAAAGGCCCATCTATGAGCCTCAAGTAACCCACGAACCCGACCATAAGGAAGGAGGAGAAAAGAAGGAAAAAAAATCAATTGTTTTTTGGATCAACCTAAGGTTGAAGACAATCTGCTAAAAGAAGAAGACAACGTAAGTTTAGAAATTTAGGAAATTAAGCAAGATGGCATCGTCTTGAGTATACTGATGCATGTTAAATTGTCGGCTGTGCGACATCGGACGGCCGAGATGAACTGCCACACGAGCTATTCCATTCGAGTCTTTGCTGGGAGAACTTAATTGCAATTTCACGGACAATTACGCACTTGCTACATTAGACCAGTGAAAGTGTTCCACGGCAAGATAAACATGTGATCTGAGTGAATTTTTGTTTATCAGAAGTCTCAATTCTAGATTTCTATATGTATGAGGTCAACTGAAGTGGGCCACGACGCCCCGCTATACTGACATACAAATTCGTTGTCTTTCCAATTGCACAACAACAAGACCCTCATGCAGCCTTTTCTTTCCCTCTAGGAATACATTGAATGAATTAAAGGTTTAAGACTGAATTGGAATCTATATAATAGATTTAGGACTATAATAGTAGTTACCAACATTCTGGACATTGAAACATCCGAACACGCATGGGATTGAGTTCAAGTCCTGTTGTCGAGCTATTTTGCTTAGAATGAAAAGCCCAACTCAAGAGAGAGCTTAGGGAGTGCGCAAAGTAAGCACTTTTGTATCTCTTTCATTGGAATTTGCGGGCTATACCCGTGTAATTAGGGTCAGAAAACTTGCTTGTTTCGAGTTATTGTAATATGCTATTGTTGATCATAGTCAAACATCTCGTCCATCTCTCCCTGTAGAGTGGGCATGCCCAGCTGACTCACATAAATCATATGTATCAGGTTCGTTTTCCGCGATTATCTCCCGCTCAATTGTTTGCGTGCCTCCAAGCTTCCCTCGTCTTTCGTCATATCTTGGAAAGAAAATGATAATTTGGTAGATAGATTGGACAAAAATAGTATTGGATGGCAGATGCAATTCGAAGTCTAGTGCTCGAACTGCGGAAGTAGATCACTATTGTTAAAAAGTGAGAATGCAAATTGACACGAGTGACAAAAAGTCGGGATGCACGGGATTATGAAACTTTTCGCAATATTTTAACACCGCACGCGTAACTATGTATTGGCATGTGCACGCCAACAGATTGGTAATGGGTCCGACAAGAAGTAACGGATACGATGCTGCTTCAAAAGCTTAAATCAATAAAAGAAGACCCGTGATGTGCGCATCTGCCAAGTGAGTCCTAGAAAATAGGAAGGGTTAGATCGTATTGTAGGGGTTGTCTATCTATTATATATTCTCTTCTTGCCTCCCTGGCTATCGACATCAACTGTTACATGCATACAGATTCCATAGACACCTCTCACTACTAGTACGAAAAGCATCATTTCCAGGGCCAACTAGTTGTGGATCTGGGGTGAGGCGAAAGAGCGATAGGGGGAGGGGAAGGTTGAGTGTAAGAGACTGTGGTGAGGAGCGAACGGTTCGAAGGAAGCTTAATAACTGCACGGCCGCAATCTCGCACGCTCTGCTAGCCAAACCATCAGGGTTGCACTCGAAAAAAGTTTGCTGCTTTCTGAAACTTCAGTTCCTCACCTTCTCTGAGCTATGGAAGGCAACAAAGGCACAGTGTGTGTGACGGGTGGTACTGGCTTCATAGGTTCATGGCTCATCATGAGGCTCCTTGAGTATGGTTACTCGGTCCAGACCACCGTCAGACCCGACCCGGGTAAGTCTCTCCTTTTTCCTGCTTGAACATGGGACCATCAGTGTGGTTCAAATGGTCTGTGTATGTGGAGAAATAAGTGCAGAAAAAGTTGGGGTGTTTACCAACGCACAATGCTCATGTATTTTGTCCTCTTTGGGAGTTTGAGGATCAACTTTGATGGGTGTTATCATCAGACATAGAACAATAAGAAAAGCAACCCCTTTCTGCTGCCTTTTCAAACGTGAGAAAGCATAAGATGAACAAAATATGGGTTAAATTAATGGCAATAGAATCGATTAATGATGATCTGGTTTCTCTTGTATGATTGAGTTGTACACTTACCATATGCCGAGGTGGCTAAGATAGAATCTCTTGCTCTTGTTCCACAGATAAACTCACTCACTCTCTCTTGATTTAGCTTTTCTTGCGGTCCATGTTCCTAAGTTTTATGGTGCAATTCAGGGTATTTCCTGAATAAGTCGTGCTGTGTTAGTTGATTTTTCCTGTACCAGTTTCTCCCATTAACCTGACACATTGACGACCAATTAAATGTTTGAGCTTTTATTTGTGACGCGATTGCCGGATTTGTTCCGATCAGATGGTGGCAGAGATATCAGCTTCTTGAAAAATCTACCGGGAGCATCAGAAAGGCTCCGAATCTTCACTGCTGACCTCAGCGAGCCCCAGAGTTTCAGCCCAGCCATCGAAGGCTGTGTCGGAGTGTTCCACGTCGCCAGCCCGATAGACATAGAGGACAGAGAGCCAGAGCCAGTCGTCACCAAAAGATCCATCGATGGAGCGTTAGGCATCCTGAGGGTCTGCCTGAACTCCAAGACCGTGAAGCGGGTCGTGTACACTTCAAGTACGTCCGCGGTTCAATATAACAACTGCAGCGCTGATATACTGGATGAGGACTCCTGGAGCGATGTCGAGTCCCTCAGACAAGTACCGAGGTTTGGAGCGTACGCAATCTCGAAGACATCGACTGAGAAGGCAGTTCTTGAGTTCGGAGAGAGGCACGGACTGGAAGTGGTGACGGTGGTTCCCACGTTTGTCCATGGACCCTTCATTTGTCCCAAATTACCCGGATCCGTACAGATTTCGCTGGCTTTGATATTAGGTATGTGATGCACAAAACATATCACATCATCCTTAAGCCAAGTCTATTTGGACCATTGATAATGTGAGATCCACGGTAGAACTCTCATAATTAGATAATATTAATTTACATGATATATAAACTTTGCATTAGCTTATCGTGATACACGTACCATACTATAGTCAAATTCATGACGAATTTGATTGATTTGGTCATCAAACGGATGCATCAATTCCATAATTTGACAATGTTTCTCTGTTCAATGTCAAATATAAGCCAAAGGCAGACAAGATTATGATCTGATGTCCATGCATATGTTCATGTTCTTTTCAATGATACACCCTTTCTATAAATCCCGTTGGAAATTATCAGGGAATGAGAATGAGTACCCTATTCTCCTCAAAATCTGTCTCGTGCATGTGGACGATGTGGCGAGAGCATTCATCTTCCTCTTCGAGCACCCCAACGCCAAGGGACGGTACATATGTTCGTCGGCCACGACGACAATTGAAGAGATGTCCAAGTTTCTCTCTGAAAGATACCCAGAATTTCAGATACCTTCACCAGAGTAAGTCCCGTTATATCCCATTTCATAATCTAACATATCTACTATTGCTTTTCTTGAACTGAGAGCAAAGTTTTTCAAATATTTGTAGGTCCCTGGAGAAAGTGAAAGGCCCTAGGTCAGGCGGTCTTTCGTCGGGTAAGCTGTTGGATGCCGGTTTCGAGTATAAGTACGGCATCAAGGACATGTTTGACGGAGCCATCCAGTGCTGCAAAGAAAAGGGTTATCTCTAGATCAATCGCCGCTCCATGCATATAACAGAATTCGGTACCCAGGCCGAATGTAGTACTGTTCCAAGTGCTGAAACAGGCATCCCACCGGACAATTGTGTGACCTATTCTGCTCTGATCTCATCTGGGTTCATTGTCCTATAGTCCTCTAATAAACCGCATGAATAATCTTGAGACTGTATGCTTCTGTTCTTTTGTATTTGGTGTTGTACTCTTTCTTCAAAACAGTATTCTTTTCCTTTAAAGAACCATTTGCCTTATTCGATACAACGTTCATCTTCGAAAGTCTTTTCCACATACATTTCGTTAAACGCAGAATCAGAATCATCATAGAAAAGCATCACAATCAAGAGAATCATTTACCTCTTCCATAGCATTTGTTTCGCTTGTTTGCATCTTGTTTCTCTCTTCTTCACCGGAGATATCGAGCTCACTCCAAGTTGCTTTCATTGGCCTTGTATTCTTTGATTTAGACCTTCTTCTCTCGTAAGCAGGATGCTCGAATTTGATATGTCCTGCTTTCTTAAAATCAAACCAAACTATGTCCATTTTGTGCCCGTCGCTTTCACTGTTGTTATCACGTCTGTGATCGCTTCTTTTGCCTCTGAAGTTCTGGAGGAACGCAAAGGGACACCACGTCCCGAGAACCAGTTCAGTCTGGTCCAGTCCAGCTCCCAAGCGGACAGGGTCGGTTCCCAGTTCCACAAATTGGGAACCGACCCTGTCCGGTCTGATCTCGAAAACCGACTATCCCTAGTTTCAAGTTCGAGCATGGACTTGAGGACATGTTCAATTCGGAGATGCAAAGAAAATGGGTACATCTGAAGGTGCCCAACTTGTTTGAATTAGCTTTTTTGGTCCTATGATACATAGGCATGTACTTATATAGGTACGTCAATGGAAGGGGAAGGACTGCTTATATCAATCAGAACAAATTCCAAGAGATATAGATCTCAAGAACCGTCAAAGAGTGAGATTGCAGGAAGTAAACACTATGCATCTTTTTCATTAGTAGTAGTGAGATTATCTGGATACTGAAAAGCACTTGAGAATAGTGTGTTGCAAGCGATTGTAATCTTTGCTTATAATCGAACATCTCGTCCATCTCTCCCCTATTGATGTCGTTGTGGGGGATGGGCGACTGTTGTTTTGAGTGGTTATCGATGATGTGTGATGGATGTGGATAGCTCTTATACCAATTTAATGCAGTTGTGGGGGCGGACGATTAGTGTTTTGAGTGATGTCAAAGAAAGTATGAATATATCAGGATGTATGGGAATGAATGCTGATAGATGAATGCAAATGAAGGATAGAATACGATCAGAATCAAGCACATACGACATGCCACCAGCCGAGTCAAGATCGGAATTGACGAGATTCAACACCAAAACTTACAGAAAAACCACCTACCAAGATACAGGACTTCGAGATAAAAGAAGCTCACTACCAAGGCCTACAGTAATACCACCAACCGAGGATACAGGGCTTCTTGGCTCACTACCAATGAAGAATCCACTTTCCAATGATACAGAAACCAAGGATAGGTTTTGCTCACATAGAGACAAATTTCATATATATTCTCAATATTGAGTAAATTTCCTAAACAGATTTTGAAGTTGACAAAACTATCCATGTTAATATTATAAATCTGATATGTACTTTGAAGTATTTTGATCCAGGTATATATACTCTGGAAGTAGCAACTTTAATACTTCAAGAGAATTTAACTTTCTGGACGTTCAGACTTTACGAGGTTCAGAAGGAAATCTTCAGACTCTACAAGGTTCGAAACGAGAAGTTCAGACTCTACTGAAATAGACACTCAGTCTTTTTCTTAAAATGTCAGAGACCTTCAGACTCTTATTTTGAAGAACTTAGACTTTACCGAAGACCTACGCTGACTCAGGTTCTGAATATAAAGCAAGAATAAAAAATTCTTCAGACTCAGAATTTATTCAGAACGAAACATAACAGCTAGTGATCTGGCGTGGATTTCACAAAAAGGAAAGTTTTGATTGATTCAATCTAAGCCTAATTGATTGACAATCAAACATTATGACAAGTATATATATCACAACGGATAAAACTCTACTTATGAAAATCAAGATTCTGGTTGTATGGACGATCAGATTCAGTGAGATTCGGATTTTGTCAACCAACGGCTACTCAATCCATTTTATACAAATCTGTCCAAGGTGAAGATTGGAAGATGATCCTCTGAAGACTGTCCAACGGCTAGTTTGGAAGTGGAGGAGTATAAAATGAGACCAATGAGAAGCAAAAGGTATAGAACGAAATCAAGAATCAACAAGTCCAAAGTCTGAGCTTATTCCGATTCTATTAATTGTCTTTCCTGAGCTAAATACTGAGATTTTGAGGGATACTCTGTAAAAATGATTGTGTGAGATAGAGAGTTCTATCATTCACCGAGTAATATCACTCAGATCTTGTGTCACGCCCCGAACCCCACGGCACGCAACATCCCTACCTTGGCCGGTTATGGTGCAACGCTCCCAGGATGCGTCGTCGACCAAAACCCAATCAGAGAACAGACACAAGCGGAAACCACGTATATAAATATAAATATAAATATATATATATATATATATATATATATATATATATATATATATATATATATATATATATATACACCCGTACAGATAAACACGTGAGACCACAGATAAAACATCATACAAACAGGAATGTACATTTCATTACTCACTGAAAACCCCTTTTTACAACGTACTTTATACAGATCAAAAGATTTAAACGAAAACAACAACTTCTAGCAGCCACCAGATCAAAAAGGTACTATGGCTGAGGAAAGGTGGGGTCAACTACAGGGAAGATCGCAGTCAAAAAGGTACTAGCTTCCCTAAAACGAATTGGGACCTAAGCTAGGGCTCCCAATCCGGATCCGACGATTCTGAGAACTCCCCTACTTGTTCCTCTTGAGGCTCGGACTCTTCGGAATCCATATCCGTTGCTGCTGCCTCTTCGTCTTCAGTATCCGGTTCAAGCTCTGGGTCAAGATAAAGCCCTAACTCATCATCGGGTCCTATCTCTACATCCGATCCTACCTCTGCTACTTCCCCATGGTCTTCATCAGAATCTAGATCCATATCCTCCAGTTCGTCTTCTTCCTCGGCAGCTTGGTTTAGGTCTTCAGCTATCACCTGTGGCTCCTGTGGCTCCCCATCCATAAGCTCATCAACGCCATCTACATCGTAGACATCCTGAGGATTGATCACCTCGCCATCCGCATATATGGGTTCCATCCATCCATCCAGACCAACTGGCGCATCAAAAGTCCTAAGGGGTTGCCCTAGGTTTCCATCGGCATCCCTCAAGCACCAAGCCACATACTCCTGAGTCTGATGAAAATATTCACCCACGTTTACAAACACCATGGATCGATATCTTACATACGATTCCCCATTTCCTACGGGGTATGTACTTGTATACTGATGTATCTGTATAGGTATTCCAAAAAGCGGTGGATTCGGCATCCTTACGGCTGGGGGTCTGAAAAGGTGGGTTATTATAACCGTGAGACGAATCTCAATGAGTATAACCCTTAAACCTAGGCTAGGCTAACATGCAATCTCCTGACAGGCAAAACAACATAATATGTAAACCATAACCTGGACCCTCGGGCCCAAATAGAACATAAGAATTACCCTGCAGGTTAGGCAGTTCATTAAAATTTTCAAGATACGAGCGCGAATACAATGGTCACACGTGCGCCACACACATGTTCATGTTCACAGTGTTCATCTCGCATGCCGGGGCACGCATTCTATGCATGTGATGTCAATGTTATGCCATGCTCCCGATTCGATTCACACTGCACACTGTCTCAATTATTAATATTTATTACGACTCGAGTCAACACCATTCCCGGCCCGGTGTGTCTAGCCTGCTTCAAAGTGCATGAGGCGCAACACCGATCTGGCCCAGTGTCTCTAGCCTGCTTCAAAATGCATGAGGCGCAACACTGTTCTCCTCACGAACCAGAGCCCGCGTAAAACGCATCAGGATGGTCGTCTTCCGGACGAGCCGGGCATCGTCCTGCTTCAAAGTGCATGAGGACGGCATACCCCGCGTAGCACGCATCAGGGCGAATTGTGATCACACATATACACATCCAGTTATTATCTGAACCCCGCGTAACACGCATTAGGGTATTTTAGGTGATCACATGCTCATGACAGGCACGCAGTCTCACCCAATTTCATCACAAGCCTCATTCTCGGCATTCATAACGCGTGCCATGAAATGCAACATGAGCATCCACATAACATAGGCACAGGCACACAGTTTAATCAAAGTCATTCCACAGTGCCTAATTCACAAGCCACGTGCTTACTTGGCCTATTAATACCGTGCGGCCCAAATTCACAATGTGTAATTCCATAACCCACTCAAGCCATCAAATGGCCGATCACACTCCGCACGAGTCGGCCACACGAGCACACGACATGGCATTATTCAATTCCCCAATAAATGGGCACAACAATCAACAAGTCAGTCAGCCCGGGCATACCCGGCAGTCCAGTCACTTAATCCTCAACTAATCCATGTTCGTCCAATAAATCACCAATATTATTCTAGTAATATACCTCATCAAATGGTGCTCTAATTTTTCCCAATATACACCGACAATACTCAACCCAGTCTAGAAAATGCACTATCAGTCCTAATCCGGGTTTAGGAAATACACTCACTTAAATTCTAGGCCACGACGACGAGGAACGGCGGCCGATCACCGATGAACAGTGAAATCGGCGGCGGCGTTCCCGGCGAACACCGTACGGACACTGTACGGACAGCGACGTACGGACGGGCTGGAGGTCACGGCGGCAGCAGCTCGGCCGATTGAGCTCCGGCGCGGCGACGGCTTGCTCCGGCGGTCCTTTGGCCGGACGGAAAGAGAGAGAGAGAGAGAAAACGGGGACGAGGGAGAGAGAGAACGGCGGGATGAGGGTGAGGGTGGCGAGGTGAGGTCAGGCGGAGCAGCAGCAACGGCGGATGGCGGCGGCACGGCGGCGGTCCGGCGAGCTCCGGCGAGAATGGCCTAGAGAGAGAGAGAGAGAGAGAGAGAAAACGGAGGAGGAGGGCTGATCGGTGGGGGGTCTGGCCGAATGAGGGGAGGAGGAGAGAGAGAGGGAGTC